TGAGAGCCGACGTTGGTGACAGTAAGGTCTGCCATCTGTCTAGTGTGCTGCCATCTGTGTGGTGCTAGTCACACTAGTTTGCTGCTGAGGTGGTGTGATGGCAATGTTTGTGCTCGTAGCTGACCTTATGTTTGCATTTGCCCTGTGGCCTGTACTACAAAGGGGGTTACTGGCTGATCGGGGTAACTTTGCGAGTAACTTGATGACGTGCGCTGTAACTTTGCGATTAACCCGTACTACGAAAGGTGGGTCGGTTTTAGTCGAGGCATGCTGCCATGGCAATTTACGCTGTCCCAAAACTGCTCCGAGCAGTTTTTGTTCTTGGTTAAGTCGAGGTTTCCGCGTAAGCCAGGCCTATATGAGCACCGCCCCTCCCACTACAATTTCTCAGAAGACAATGCCGGCGTACCTGGATGATCCGTACCACATTGGCGCGCGAATCGTGAGGGGCTCTCTCTGTTAATATGTATGAAATGGAGCAATGGTATATACTATGCATACAGTGTATTAATTAATAACTGTTATAGTTATTCTGAAAACCCAAGGCGTGTGCATTGTTCCCTGTTGTCCACTGATCAAAGCACACTTCACTAGATGTGTCTAGTTTTAAAGTTAACCCATCCATGTATTGTCCCATTGCACATTATACGGGCACATTTGAACATTCAAAAATTAACTGAAATTCGAACGTAAAGCAATCTGGGAAACAAAGGAGTGTGCAACACTTGTGCAATGGACAATACATGAATGGGTTAATACCTCTAAAACTAGACAAGACAGGCACATCTATAATGAAGTGTGCTTTTATCAGTGGACTACAGGGAACAATGCACACCCCTTGGGTTTTCAGATTATTTTTGTCTGTCATAGTTATTAATTATTATATTGCATCCATTTGAAGTGCAATGGGGCAACACACTAAAGGGTTAATAGCTCTAAAACAAAATGAGACAGTCATGTCCTATGGAGTGTGCTTTCATCAGTGGGCTCTGGGGGATAATGCATACCCTTTGGATTTTCAAGATCACTTTCTGTCTTACAGTTATTAATTATTACATTGTATCCATATTACATGCCATTGCTCCATTTCATACATATTGACAGTAAATTGATAACACAAATTAATCCATAAATAAGTTGTAAAGTGTGATTTAGGCAGTGCACCGTGGGACAAAGCAAGTAACGTAGCTGAATTGCTTGATTACTGTACATGTCACTGACCGGTCATCTTCATCTTCTACCAAAGCAAATAACCAATCGTAGTCAATATTAAAAAAAAACAATGAAAGGAGCAGAGATATTAGCCACTGTTCCCGCCTCCAAAGTGTCAAAATTCATCCTGTCGAGCGATCGAATGCTGTGCAGACGCAAGTGCGTAGATAGGGTCCAGCGAATGCCAGTGCGTAGAGAGGATGGGTTTTCTGCTCGCCAGCGCATACGCGCGCGTGGTTTTTATGCGTGCGAGTTTTGGCACTAATTAAACGCCATAGAAATAAGGAACTGCCCCCCCGCACGCGAGTCCGCTGCTAATGACTGGCGGATTCTCGGTGAGATTTGATTTCAGGTTAGATTTAGAGGTTTTTTGCATATACTGCAGAATGCTTTCCGGTCATTCCTCATGACCGGCTTAAGCCAGTCTTTAAATGACGGGTTATCAAGCCAACTTTTAGAAATCTTACATTTCCCCATTTCACCGCCAGGTGGCTACTAGCTAATTTCCTAATATCAACACGTCAGATCACCCTAGCTCAGCTTAGGTAAAAGGTGGAGAAATGGCGTCAACGTCAGTCTGATAGGCTATTAATTCCGACTCAGGTCCTGCTAGCACATATGCTATATATTTTCTAATAAGATGAAGTTAAAACACGTAGACAAATGGGAAACTCATAATATATTGAGGTGGATGATGAAAAATGTACTACCAAGTCAAACTCCATTTACTACCTTTTAATACCTTTCAAGGGGGTGAGGGTAAAATGCGGATTCTGCCGGACGTACACAAAAGAGCCTTCGAGGAGCTTAGCAATGCGGTGCAACTGCGCAGTCAGTACAATACGGATGTCCGAAATCGTATTGTTCTTAATGTTAACATTATTATCTCTGTTGTCCCGTCAGAATTAGACAGATGTAGATGGGTGAGGGTTAAAATGCGGATTCCGCCGGACGTAAACAAAAGAGAAATTCGAGGAGCTCAGCATTGCGGTGCAACTGCGCAGTCAGTACAATACGGTTGTCCGAAATCGTATTGTTCTTAATGTTAACATTAATTTCATTGTTAATTTGTTAAACATGTGAAAATGTTCTATATATTATCTGTTGAGCGTTCTCTGGTCGAGGATAATCTAAATGTGCATTTCGCCCTGTACACTGTAACCATGTGAAAGCTGCTATCCATAATCTTAAACTAAAAGTCCTCGGAAGTGGCACGTAGAAGTGAGGCCCCAGC